GTTGTGAGCACTCTTTCATTTTCAGCAAACTGAACTGTCCGAGTGAGTTGTTAGCGGCCTGCGTACGAAACTCCACTGTGACTGAGTACATTCTGCGCTTGGGCAACCTACGTGGTTGTTTTGTTTCTTCTGATTTTTCCTCTCGACAACAGTTCCAAGGCGTCGAACGACGCGGGTTCCTTGTTGTTGCTGCTGCTGCTGTTGCTGTTGCTGTAGCAGTTGTAGTTGTGGTAGTAGTAGCAGCAGCATCCACTGGCTGCAGTACTCGCCGATTGTGTCTCAGAGCCTTCCTCACATGGCTGATGGTTTGGAAGCCGTCATCTTGTGCGTGGGAATCTTCATCATGCTCATCTAGAATATTCTTGTAAACCCCAGGTACGCTGGTATATCGACCCCAAAGGTTTAAGACATGCCGGCTGGTGCAGTGAGAAAGTAGCTGCTAGTGATTGGCTGCCAGGAAAACCGGATTCTATTGTGCCCCCTGCAGGCATCACCCACGGGAATCTGAAGCTGGGCATCGCCGGGGCCCTGTCGAATCTTGTCAGCTGGGAACCGGGCGGCATCCACCCAAATCAGGGTGCCGAAGGGCACTCGGTCGCCGTCCGCCAGACTCCAAACGGAGTAAGCCTCGCTAATGAAACAAGCCTTGAGTCGGTTGAAGGGAAGCATGTTTTTTGGGTTTTGTTTTGTTTTTGGGTGGTTCTGTTGTATAAAAAAACAACCGTCACATGCATAGGTTGTGTATTCAAGTAAAAAAGTTGCTGCCTTTGCCTTTGCTAACCAACAGTCAAATGACTCCCGAGTGATGAGGGCCCCCAGCCCCCAGGAAGGTTCTCTGAACCTTGGAAGGTTCGCAGTTTCTTGTTCCTTCCTACATCAAGCGGCGTAGCGCCCTGGTGGAGAATCAAGAGGAAACCAAAAACCCATGGTTTGTTCATCTCGGACACTGGCATAGCAAAATCGACCAAGGGTACAACCACTCCAAGGACCCTCCAACTCATATCACCTCGGGAACGCGCCGGTCCGGGTATGTTTTGCGGGCATGTTCTTCGCGCAGCCGATCTGGCGGCGAGAATAGTCCATGTGCAGGCGCCATCTTCAAACAAAAGAGAACACGCAAAGCAAACCACACCGGACCGAAAGGACAAATGAGTCTTGTTTTGTTCGCCTGTGCCGTCCCAAATTTGCATACACTCGACGCCACTGTAGTTGGTAGCGGCTATCTTGGGTTTGGAATGGATGCCTTCCTCCGTGAGCCCTGCCAAATCCGAAGGCTTTAAGGGGGGAGTTGCGTGGCTTCAAGGCAAATGGAGCACTGCGTATGCGAAAAACGCCTGCATGGAATCGGCAACATCGTGCGAGCTCCTAGATCGCGTTGGCAAGTTGTTCCGAAAGTTTCGGACTTTTCTTTGCAGAAACCAAAAGGAAACCAACATTCTTAGGGGATCCCGAAGCATCCACGAGTTCATCCCCACTACTAAACCTCAGCAGCTGCATTTTTGGTGACCCTTCCCTCGGGAGAGGGAATCACCTGTTTCAGCAGCTTTGGGCCTCACGAAACTGCAGACAAACAGCAAACAAGGCAAGTGACTCCAGCTAACCCCTGTCGAACAATCCGATGAATCCATCGTGTACAACCTGCTGAACAAAACCAAGTGGATACTCCCAAGAAGGGCTTGCTTGGCAGTCACATATGGCATTCAGCCCTCAGACCGCTCGCAACCCTCGTGCGGTGGGTGTTGGTGGTCGCAGGTGGTGTGTAGAGTCTCTGACTCGCACAACCATGGTTGTGGAAAATCGCTGATACCGACATGGGTCACTCTCATGACTCCTTTCTCGCTTTGAAGGAAGGGGAATCCCTTTGTATCACAAGTGAGCCTTGAGCCAATTTTCCACATCCACTCCAAAAACAAGAAGAAACCACCCACCCTTGGATATGTTTCCGAGTAGCCTTCTCAGAAGGTGTGTAATATCCCGCTCGCAAAACCGGGGTGTCTCCCTAAGGCCGCGCCCAAAACTTGACTTCGGTTCCCTGTTGGCTTCCCTTTCTGCACCAAACCTAACTGGTTTCAGCCTCAACAAAAAAAACACTGGCGGTTTCCCTGTTGGCTGCAGCTCACCGTTTTCGCATTTTTTTGCCCTCACCGATCGCATTTTTTTGCCCCAAGCCGAACCACTTTGAGCCTCGAGCCTCCTCTCATGTCCCCCGCCTTGCCCTCCAAAGGCGCTTGCAGAGACAATGCCAAGGGCACCGTGCTGCCTGGCGGCACCTGTCGAGATCGGGCGGAAAACCAGTGACCAAAAGGAACAAGGCACAGACTTTTTGGGGCCACCGGTTTTAGACAAGAAAGGGGGAGGGAATCATTCCGCACCGGAAGGTCGAAATTCCCAATCGAACAAGTTTGTTTGCAGCATTTGCATTCGAGGAACGAAGAAACCCAAAATATCCAATCGATTTGAGCGAAGGCAGCCTCTCCAAGAACCTTTGGCTTTGAGGGCTCGAACCCCCTCAGTCCCAGGGTGTCCCGTTGCGAAGGATTGTCATTGCCTTTGAACAGGTTTGGTAAGACGGGTCGCAAACCCATGGCAAGAGGGCCGCCAGAATTCCAGCAACAACAAGTACAACACAATAGAAACACACACACACACACACACACACGACCAAAAAAAACAAGTATACCCCATCAGGCGGATCTTATCCATCAACCTGAACCACACAAAAGGCTCGTCTCCCAGCATCCCCAGCATCCCCAAGCCACAAGCACCCCAGCCGCAGGCTTGCGGCAAACTCAGGAAGCTCTGGACATCTTGTCCGTTGCTCAGGAGACCATCTGGCTTAAGGATGAAGGAGTATTTTTTTCGAGCAATCAACGCCAAGGTGTCCCACTTCAGCAAGATGGCTGTGGCTCAAAGATTGAATCAAACCCACATTTCGTTGATATGTGTATTTCCGGGTTCGAACATGCTGAGTGTCACATGGGTATGGTTTTTACTTGGGGAGTGGACATAGCGTATAAAGGCGGGGGGTTTATGTCCACCAACCACTCCTTAGAGGGATTCCCTATTCTCAATTGCTGAGTGGATGGCCCAAAAAAAGGTTCAAGCTTTACATTTACCACTAAAATGGTCCAGCCCCATTCCATTCCATTCCATTCCATGCGCACAGAGTTCAGTCGAACGCAGCGATTGCATTAATTAAGCACATGCTTTCATGTGCCCACCCCAGCCGCATAGTCTGGCCCAATTTCTTGTGCCAGCGGCATGTTGGCATACTCAGCGAGCATGCTTTGGGAGGGAATCTCAGCAACATCAGTTTGCGTGGCTTCCCTTAGCTGAGCACTGACCAAGAAGCATTTGGCAAATGCCTTGCACAAGAGAGGAGGGTATTCCTTCAACCGGGATGTGCAAAAAGCTTCCCCATTGTGGCCAATGGACCTTTCCTTTGCCGGCCACTGACTTCTAGGCAGCTTGGTGGATTCGAGGATTCGCTCCCAACCAGGCAGGTGTGTCACCAGCAGGTCAGTCGGCTTTTCGGCTGTCTGGCCCCACTGACGCTGGTGTATTCGCCTCTTTTCGACCCCAGGAAGGGTGCACAGCCATTTCACCTGAGCAAGCCTCCATATGGAAGGAAGGCGTGATTCCGAGGGCTCACCAGGATGCTCTGTAATGGTCACTCCACAACATGCGTACAGGTGTGCAACAACAAGCAATGCAGTTTGCAGGAGTTTGTTGCTAATCTGTAGTTGCTTGTACTCCTTGGGACGCAGGGAGGGGAGTCCCCATGGCTGATGGGCACTCCTGAGTGGACGTGGCGCATTGGGCTTATCTGCTATCTTCACCTCCCTGGCACGTGACCATGTTTCACATGGCGGTCCTGCCTGTGCACCGAGAATGTGTCCACTACGGATGAGTGCAAGGATTTTGGCAACCAACTCATCAGAAGCAAGGTTACATAACTTTGCATTATGGACAACATCAAGGCAGATGACAAAGATGCGAAATGGCTGCCCTATACTCATTTCTTCAAGATGACGGCGCATGCTGCCCTCACGGTCTCTGCCAGAAAAGAGGTGAAGCACAAAATATGTACGAACCCCTTGGAAATTCATGGCCAAGGGATGTACCACTGGCGCCTGGGCAGTGAACCTGGTACTAGCGCTGTTATCCTGTGCAGCCAGCACATCCATTTGGTGAACAGAGGTGTTGGGTGTGTGTCCTGCCTTTCGCAGGTTCCTGCCAGGCATGCTGGGATTACGTGTGTCCCGGCGTGCTCGCAGGGCCGGCGCCGCCCTCCAGAAGAGATCGATCTCTTCTGGGGAGTAGTCTTTGGCATTACTCTGCCTCCACTCAAGCTTGTTGGGGAGTCTCGGACCCTCAAGGAGGATGCAGGGGATCCTCTTGTGTCCTTTGAATCTGCTATCAAGCTTGATGTGAACCGGGGGCCCTGTGAGCGGCTCTAGATTCTGCAGGCAGAATTGCATGCAGCGAGGGTTCTCCCGGAGATGAACATTGACTCTATGGGATGTGTGAAATTCAACGAGACAAACAACACAGTGGGAGGCATAAGTGTATGCACGTGTCTCTGAAGAGATCTGGTGGGCATGCCACTGATGGGCCGAGAGCCCCTGCCGGGTGGAGTACTCATTGCCACACAAGTCACATCTGTGACCAAGTGGGCTTGTCGGCGCATCGGGTTGCCTACGCTCAACCTGCAAACCTATCTGCCCAACTGCACCATCAAAATTTTCACGCCAGTGTTCCAGGTCAGCAAGCAAGGTCAGCTGTGTGACAGCGGTTTGGCAAGCCTTGATGGTGTCCCTATTCCACGCATTGCTACTCCTGGCCACATAGGTGAACAACTGGACCCAAGTATAGGTGGTTGCCAAGCCGTTAAAGGCATCAGGCACGATTTCTCTTACAGCTTCGATGTCGTGTTGAACAAGGGTCAACCAGGCACGCGACTCATTGACTTTGTACTCATTCAACAGAAGCTGACTCAAGAAGGCAGGGGCACCAGTTTGAAGGTGGACAAGATACCTCAATCTCATTTTACGCATCTGCCACTCAAGAGACGGACATCTGGCTTTGGCGAGGACATACAGGTTTGAATGTTTTTGCCCATACTGTGTGACACACAAACCTGTGGCGGCCCTGAGAGCTTTCATGTAAAAGCCATTGACGGCCTTCGCAGAGCCACCATCTAGCACTCCCCATGCCTGTGCGCCATAAAGGAGCTTGCTGAAGACCGTGGCTTCAACAAAGGTGACTTTTGCAGTGACCGAAAGTCCCTTGTTTCTGAAGACCCCAATCTTCAATTGGTGCAAGGCTTGGGCAGCTAGTGCTACACGTCTCCGTGTTTCTTCACGCAATGTGGCATCTGGCGCGACCAACCCTCCAAGATGACAGTATGAAGGCACAACTGACAAGTTAACACTGCTCCCATCATTTTTGGCAACTTGCAGCACCGATGAATTTTCAACAAGGAGTCTTCTGCGGGCTGTCTTCGCTTTGGGACCTGCGAACTGAATCAAGGCTTCAGTCTTACCTTTATCCATGCTGATAGAAAGACCTACACTTTGAAATGCAGCCTCAGTTATGTTGACAGCTCTGGCTAGTTTGTCAAGCACTTCATCTTCGGAGGAGGCTTCAATGCAAGCGACCACATCATCTACCCATGTAAGGGTGGGAAATGCTTGAGGGTCAACTTGGGGCGGGAGGTGAATGTCAGTGCACAGATTCCACATCTCAAAGTCGGCTTGTATGTCATTCACGACTGCAGCCACAGCTACATTAAAGAGCGCATCAGCCAGGGGTGTTCCCGGACGAGACCCCTGGCAGCTACTTGCAATCTGGCCAGTGAGCATATCTCGCATCCACGTGGCATTTTGGCCATCCTTGAGCTGCTGCAGTAGTACTTTGGATATGCCATCCAAGACTTCGGGATGCTCACTACTATGCAAGCTGGCATACTGTTCATGCACGGACGGGTCGAGGGTCTCGAGCAGCGAGGCAAACTGATCGCTTGTGCGATGTGATCCTACAGCAGCTTCTCTTATGACTTTGTAAAAGGCAGATTTGACATCGAGGAACAACACCGCACAACACTTATGCTTTATGTTACCAATCTGCAGAAAGGTGCGCACTGCATGGGATGCAAAGCATGGCTGGCTGCCCTGCTTTCCGCCAAGCTGGGCCACTGGCATTCGGTGGCCAATTTGCTGCATTAGCTGATGCCTCTGGATGGCTTGGTGACATTTTGATGCAGTAGTGGACAGCAAAACACTTCGATAGCTGGTGATCTGGTCCTTGGGGCCTTTGGATTTCCAAAGCGACACTAGGGTACCACCCCGAAAAGTGAGAGGCTGATGGGCATATATGCTGGCCTTCAACATCAGGGGAAACCATAAGTGGGCTGCCTCAACATTTGCAATCGAGAAGAGTTCAGATACAAGCAGGTCCTCGCCTGGGGCTTTACCGGACTTGACACGAGCCATTGCCGTTTCAAGGTGTACTTTGGTATACAAGGCATCAAGTGCAATAGGGCCACTTGTTGTGAGCAAGGCCTGCGAGGTCTGACATTGCTGGACTAGCTCCTCAGGTTGAACAACTTTCCCGCTTTCAATTTCCGCAAAGTACTCAAGGGCCTGATCTGACACTGCAGCAATTGGCATTGCTTTGCGATTCTTCATCTGTTTGGACTTAGGAAGCAAGGGTCGCATCTCCTTCCATAGGTCGTTCATGCCACCGTGTCTTTCGGCATCGCGAGCATTGGCAGCAATGCGCTCGGCATATTCAGCTCGGCAGGTCTGCATTGCTTGGTGCAATGCCTGGCGCACTTGCTTGAGCTGCTTCATCTGAATGGCAATCCTATGGTGTATCTGCTTAATGGCACAGGATGCAGGCGAGGGCGTGGTTACATCCTTCCATGCTTGAAAGCAGCACACAATGTACAGATAACGTTCCTGAAGAAATGAGCGGTTGGTGCATCTTTGGATGCGTCGCTTTTCATGCAAGAGGTCAATTGCAATCTGACTTAAATACGGTCTTACTTTACTCTTCTGCTTGGGCAGCGAGTGGGTGGCTTGCTCCTTCATGCCTTGCTCTATGGTGAAGGCATGTTGGTGCACATTCTGTGTGAAGCAGCTCTCGGCACGAGGGACACTAGCCGGAACGGCACGAAGGGCTTTGCGCCACACTTGCACGTCATCAGTGCAAGCCGGGATTGGCCTCCTGTATGGCAGTGCTTGCCTTGGCTTGTCTTCACACCTAT